CATTAAAGTTGAAAAGCGACCATAAGAGGGTGAGTGGAATTATTTACTTAATTTATATGGAAGAGTTTATTTTTATATGTAATTTATATGGAAGTTATTTGAAAGCATTTTAATCTTTTGAAGTTTACTCACACATAAAGCGAGTTCTATTCGCTGGAGAGTGGATGCTTCCCCCCAAAGATACCAAATTGTGGAACTCGCCAATTTAGCGTTGTAGTTGTAGGGTTTTTCTTTAGTTTCCTCTGATTTTCTTCACAATTTTGAAAGATCCTTTCTTGTATCGCAAACAAAGATTATAATATTAAACACGAGCAAGTTTGAATCCAATGGTTAAAGCTCGTATGTTTTTCATCAAAGATTTAGTGAATTTGATCTCTCCTGTTAAAATGAATAGGCGTTCATCGTTGCTATTTTTATGTCTGCCAGGAGAGAGATAGCCACCAAATTGGATAAAGAAGCCAAGATATTTTCCGGACACGTACCCTCTTAGATTTTTTGTGTGCCTTTATATATTCACTCCCTACTCGACATGCTATAAAAACGTTGGCTTGCCATGCTGCTATAATAATAGTAAGGCATATCATTGAGTTCTCTACTCCTACTCTACTCTACAACGAGAGGTTTTTTTTTTTTTTAGGTGGGGAGTTTTGCATTCAGTTTTTGCCTCTTTTGTCACATACGATTTCCCAAATTTTTCGTTTTAAACCAAGAGAATGGACAGAACCCAACTGCAGCGCCAGGTTGCCCTCAAGAGAAGCTCCCTCTTTGAGCAGGTTATTACTTTGCTTCTCTCTTTTTTTTTTTTCTTTTTTTTTTTTAATCTTTTTCAAACCCTATTTTCGGCCATTAAACATCTTGAAAACTGCATGTTGTCTGCTCTACACCGATGACTTTTCGTGTTTTTGCCAAATGTGATTGGTTTTTTATCTTTGGTTATTCCACAATAGGGTTTTCCACTTTTTTAAGGGAGGGGATTATTGGTCTAGAAACACTTGTTTTTCTTTTAAATCAACAATGCTCTCAAGTTTTGATGAATTAAGCAATCCGTTTTTTTTTTTTTTTTACCTCGTATTTTAATCAATTTTCACAGACTTTTGATAGTTTATAATCTTCTTTTTTTTCATTACATTAGAGGATTTCGAACTTTGAAACTAACCTATCCTATCACCCTCACTACTGGCTAACCCTAGTGGCTTAATTTACAATCCTTTTCCACTTATTGAAGAAATGGAGTTATAAAAGGAATCGTCTCTCTTCTAGTATGGGTTTGATAGTGGTCTCTAGAAAGCCCCAAAATCTTTGTTTTGTATAAGGTCCCGAAGCCCAAATTTTGAATGTACAACAAAACCCTAGCTATTTTGATCACATTGATGGCAAAGCTCTTGATTTTTATGAGGATAATGTTTATGTATGGGTCTAAAACCATACCAGAAAAAAAAATTTGTACGCTAGGACAAATTCTTTAGACTTAGCCTTCAAAATTTATTTACTTGAATGTTTGCAGCATTACCTCGATCAGCAGCAATTCATTCAGTTGGAGGAATTGCAAGATGATGCAAACCCAAATTTTGTGGAGGAAATTGTGACATTGTTCTACAAAGACTCAGGTAGACTGTTCCAAAAGATTGAGCAAGCACTGTAAGTAAATAACACTCCCAGTTACACACACACACACACACACTATATACAATCGTATTATCTATATACTATATACGTTCGTATTATCGAAACTAAGTATACAATGAGTAGTACTAAGATGAATGTATTTATACATTGATTTATGCAGGTACAGTAGGCCTATAGATTTTGCCAAGCTGGATGATTACATGCACCAGTTCAACGGTAGTAGTTCAAGGTACCCGAAACCACTTGCTTTGATTGAATTTTATAACTTGAATAAATATATTGTTTCTTCAATTAATGTTCTAAATTAAGGTAAATGTGTAACAGCATTGGAGCTATAAAGGTGAAGAATGAATGCTCCCAATTTAAAGAATTTTGTTTGGCTGCAAATGCTGATGGGTGAAAAACATACTTCATTTATTTGTAACCAAATTAATGTTTCACCATTTCTCTCCTTGCTGTGATCTCATTGTGATTGATTATTGCAGATGCTTCAGGGCTTTGGAGAGAGTGAAACAAGAGCATCAGACCTTGAGGATTCACCTTGAGAATTATTTTCAGGTATCATTACCCTCTCTAGTCTTGTGCCTAGAGTGAGGTGAAAAACTTTCATGTACAAGGGATATATCGTTTCGATCTTTTTTTTTCCTCACTCATCATCTAAAGTGAAAGTGAGAAAGAGAGAGCGGGGATATATATATATATCCTCGGGATAGAGAAGTTAAGTAACTAGGCAGGCAGTAGTTACATTGTTATTTTTTTCTATATTTCTTATATATGTGTCTTGTACATCTGTAGTTGAGGAGGCAAGCAGGACTGGTTCGACGTGTCTGAGTGCCACATATTTGCCTGAGGTGCCAAGTTGATAATATGGCGAAAAAGAGCTATCATCAGCACCATTTTATCATTTTATGGTCCTAGGGTTTTATAGAGCACCATTAAAATATCAAGGAGAGTACTATGCAGTTTTTCAATTTTGGTTGGCCATAGAGGTTAAGTTATATATATTCCAAAAAATATAGATCTTAACTAGAGTACAAATAATGCAGATGTAGATCTTCTATGGTTTGCATGCGATTCTAAATTATGTATTATCTTGGCCCTCTTAATAAATTTGCACTTTTGTTTTATGAATATTTGCAAACACTCATGACTTGATGGGAGTGATGAGTCTCATTGGTATGTATGATTTTTCAATGTTTTAGTCATTATGAAGAAGCAATATTCCAAGGTCTTCTACTTATTAGACTCACCGGCAAATTTGGTGCATATTGTGAATAACAAAGATGCATGAATATATGTAGTATACCTCACATGTAGAGCTCTTTTCTACACTTTGGTTATCGAGAAAACATCACTTCATTCTTCTTGAACTTTAATCTTATTTACTGATGCGATTTAGGATGCATGATTTAGGATGCATAATCAATGTAGAGCTTAAATTTAATACTTTTTAGTTTCAATTTTTAGATTGGTTAATCGCTTATGTTTTATCTTCTTCATCGTAAATATAACACTTAAAATCTAATATCCAAGATTCAAAGAGTCATTATATCCTTTAAATTATCAACCTTATTAACAAATAAGACGAGGGTTAAATGAAACTGAATATAAGAGATTTTGTTGACACTTTCATTCCTTTAAAGAAAAGGACGGAAGTCTTCTCAAACTTATGAGGGCATCATTTACCAAGAGCATTGGTTTGGTATATAATGTATTCTATATTGGATGGTTTGTTAGAGCGCAGAAAAACTTGCAATGATAACAACAATCAAGAAGGGTGAAGAATATGAAGAGGGTAGAAAACTTGCAATGATAACAGCAATCAAGAAGGGTGAAGAATATGAAGAGCGTAGAAAGCAAAAAGAGTCTAAACTGAAGTTGGGATTTATCAAAGATTTGATTGACTGATTGAGGGCAGTGATTGATAATCTTTTTTAAGTGGGATGTAGGGCTCTACCACTAGCCACCTCTTGTTATGGCAAATGCAAAAGGGTGGCTTTGCAAATGATGATCATCATGACTTTGCCGTATGTACAATATTCATTGAACATTTGATCATAAGCTGCTTTCTTCCAAGAACAGACAAAATAAAAAATTAATGAAAGGCACGCTTCAAAATTGGAGTAATCGAAGCTAGGCTTTCACCACCAACCAACCCATCAAATGCAAGGGTGTGCTTAAAAGAGAGAACGTGTTGTGTAATTAGCTGTATATCTTCTGGTATCTATTTCTCTTATCATATAAGAAAAACAAACACAAAAAGATAGCTAAGAATTTCTGGCGTAAGAAGACATAAATCTCCATGATTAAGTATGAAAAATGCAATTATGGGAGTCTTAAACCAGCTTAACCAGGTTGTTAAGATTTGGGTGTGACTATAATTAGCATCCAAGGATTTCTACAAGCACTTTTGCGTGGCTTAGCTAGTGGAGTTGAAGGACCACTACTTTTTGGTGACTAAGAAGTCTTCTCCATGAGTTTACAATTTAGTGCTGTGGCTACTGCTGCATATATCTGACTGTTCCTTCAAATCTAATCCCAGTCAAAGTCACTTGTAACTGTGATTCAATATAGTATTGAGCCCCCCAGATGTTTAAATCTGATAGGCAAAACTCAAACTTAATCAAGAGTTTGAATTTTAATTAATTAAATACTCTGCCTAAACCGTCAACCCTATACAACCATGTATCTATCTTTTTCTTCACGTGATTCACTAATCATACACATGATTGTATTTCTCCCAAATGCGAGCTTGAGGACAATCTTAAAACCTTCCTCAATGAATATTAACCTAATTGAGTTTTGAAGTTGATTAAAGTTAACAAACGGACAGTTGTGCTTCGCCTAATTGATGTCATTTCGTCTATTAGCCAGACTTATGGACCCCTTCTCAGCAATAAGCTCACACAACACTGGTTTATGTGGCATGCATTATGAGAAAAAGGGCAATAAAAAGCACAACGCCTTGGCAAGTTGAGTGGCTTCCAGATAATTTAGGCATGTGTTTCTTTTCTTCCCTCTTCTCCATTTTTCAAGGAAGAGAATAATAAGCGAGAGATTTTTTAATGTCTCAAAACACTGTTACTTGGTGTTATTATTCCATTCAAATTATAACGCATATCTATTTTATTTATCAATATAAACTAGAAGTGAAACATATGAACCTTATAACATGTGAAGTAGTACGCTAATAACACTGCATAACAAGTATTCCCAACACACATAAAAATTTCTTAGTAAGCATACTCATCTCTCTCACTATCTTATCTCGCACTCACACACACCACACATAGAGGCACATTGAGTATTTTGAGCTGAATGCTGTCTTGGTCATTTGTCACAGTGTCATGTATATGTGACCGGCCACTTATTCCAGCTACACGGTTGTTACTTGTTTTTGAACACTCTATATTTTCTATTTTTGATTCTAAAATTCCAGACAAGGAATCTTCCCAACCATTTTCCTTTTCTTGCATGTGCTCTATAATTAACTAGTCCAAACCGAGTCTCCAAAAAGCAGGTTATTGGAAGAATTTGCTATATATCTCCTTACAACCACACTGCGTTGTACTACTCATCTCCTTAGGGTTCTCAAGGCTAGCTACTTCACGGTTTTTGGGTCCCTTTAGTAGAATTTTCCATGTTTCGCGCAAACCCTAGTTTTTAATTTCTTTAGATTTTTGTTCTTAAGTTAATTACTTTGGGATTTGAAAAGTTTAGGGCACGTTTGATAACCATTTCAATTTTCAGGTTTTCGGACTTTAAGAGTTTAGCGTGCGTCTATATAGAAATGGATAAGTTGTATGGTATGACTTGTGAGAATAATGAAGAAGTGGTTGTAAGAGCAAATAAGAGAGGGTATGTTGCAGCTGAAGACAAAAAGCTGGAGCTGAGGCTGGGTCCTCCTGGAGGAGAAGATCATCAGTCACTTCTTTCCCTTGGTTGCTGCAACAACAAGAACAATATTTCTCATGAAGCCAAAAGAGTCTGTCATGAAGAGAAAAAAGAAGAGAGAAAGTGGTTGGCAAAAAGCTCATCAGATCCTCCAGCAAGTGCTTTTGAACTTACAAATTCAACAGCAGCTCGTGACTCTGATCAGAAAAGGTACAACTCTATAGCTTTTCTTACTTTATTTGCTTCAACTAATGACGGTTAAGATAAAGAAATTAGTTAATCTTCTTCTTTATCAAACAACTGTCATCCATCAGATTTGATCATGCTAAGGGAATTAATCTTAGTTAAGCATATAATAATCATCGGCTGGTTAATGTAAAATTGATTATGAAGTATACAAAGTACGTAGGTGAATAGTTTCCATGAAATTAGATCCTGTTGTGGAATTGAATGATAAATAGAAATGCTTCAGTCAAGACAATAATTTTTGAGAACTTTATTATCTTTGCTACCGCAGTAAATGCAGAATTGCACAAGCTCCAGTTGTCGGATGGCCTCCGATCCGTTCATCCAGGAAAAATCTTGCAATCAGATCATCACCATCAAGCTTTGCAAAGCCAGCAGCTGATTCGGAGTCACCAAATGAAACTTTGAAGGAGGGAAATGGAAAATCTGATAGTACTACTTATTCCAAGGACCACATGTTTGTAAAGATCAACATGGAAGGAGTTCCCATTGGAAGAAAAATTAACCTCAAAGCCTATGATAGTTATGAGAAACTCTCTTTTGCCATAGATGAACTCTTCCAAGGTCTCCTTGCAGGTTATTTTTTGTGTGCAGAATTTCAGCTTTAGTACTAATTCTTTGATATTATTTACTAGATTTTGTTTTTGTTTTTGTTTTACATCAATGATTTATTTATTTTCTACTATTTTTTGTGTGTCCATTTTTAGCTCAAAGAACTTGTTGTGGTGTGGAGAAAGAAGACAAGAAGGGAGAGACCAAATCAATAACTGAATCATTACATGGCAATGGGAAATATACTCTGCTTTATGAGGATAATGAAGGAGACAGGATGCTTGTTGGTGATGTCCCATGGAAGTAAGCAGTCCAATACCAACTTTACTAAATAAAATTGGTCCCAACTAGTCACAACTCAAGTATTATTTTGTCTATTAATGGCTAAACTCTCGTATTCGAGATTCATAATTTAAACGAAATATCATTCATTAATATGTAAAAAATAGAACAGCTAATTAGAAACATACATAATATATTGTATATCTTGCAATTTTCACAAATTATCACGGTAGCGAGAGATTTATTTTTTGACATGGTTCTCATTTCATTTTATTAATAATTGCAGCATGTTTGTATCGACGGCAAAGAGGCTTCAGGTATTGAAGAGCTCACAGCTTTCCACTCTACAGCGTACGTGAAGCTTACTTTTGTTCTCATAAATTTTTTTTTTAAGTGTCAAATTTTCATGGCTAGAGCCTTTTAGCTTGAAGGATTGGATTGCTATTCAGACTCGACTTGAGCGACTCTATGCAAAACAAAATCAAGTTTGAGTATGAGCCGCTCAAAGAGCGAATCCGAATAGCAATTTAGCTTCAGAAATATTTATAATGGAAGTTTGCTTGTTTTCAGTTAGTAGCAGTCAGCGTGAAAAGACACCACTTGATTCTACAATGGAAGTTGGAATTGGAAGATGAGGCAATAATAAGTGGAGGAATTCCCATACATGCGATGACATGAAGCTCTACATTATTTAGGGGTTTCCATCAAGTTTTCTTTTCTTTTTTTCCTCTCTTTAATGGCCTAATTAAACCTTGTATATTAAGGGTGTTAAAGATCACTTTCATTTTCTGTTTTCTGTATCTCCTTTTCTTGTTGAAATGTTCAGGTTTACACCCTTTTGGGGCTTTTGTAAAAAGAATTGTTCCTAAGTCATAATACGTTTGTCACTTAATACTACGGTCTAGTGTTATTTCACTTCATTTGTACGTGAAAGGTCTTAGGTTCCAATCTTTGTGAATGTTGAGTTTGTAACCAATTTATTCTCCCTATCCCTTCGTGTAAATATCGATGAATAAAAAAAATGTTATGATACACCTATCGAACCCACACAAAGGAAAAGAGAGTAGAGATAAGCTACGCACTTGTTATGTGCTATGATATGTCGTCTATTCATATTATAATAATATCTTATGATGGTACATGATGTTGTTTTGATCACACACACAACAAATTTCCATCAATGTAGAACTTTGAACAGATTAGACAGGTCTCACTTTCAAGGTTGAGAATGAGATCAATCGCATTTCTAAGCTGAGCCAAAATCTATACACGGTTTATTTCTAATTGTGAGTGAGTATGGTTTAAAGATCCTGGGCATTCTAGGTTCAGTTTTATTCTTTTCAGTTTTTTTTTTTTTGCAACACTAAAATTACTATTTAGTTCAGTTCGGCTTTTGCAATTAGTAAAGAAGAAACCGAATTATTTTGGTTCCGTCATGTTCGGTTCTTATTTTTTTTTTCTTTTGTTTTGTTAGCCTAGAAAATGGAGAGAAAATGAAGAAATAAATATATTATGAACAAGACTTTCAACATATTTGGGCCTTAAGTTGGGTTCATCTAATATTTAAGAAATTAGGCTAATAGTTGACTTGAAATTGAGCTTGAAAATGAATACCCAGCATAAATAAATTGGGCTTGAAAATGAATACCAAACTCGGTTTAATTTTCGAACCATCAAAAACGAAACTGAACTAATAGTTTTTTGTTCGGTTTTGGTTTTCGCAGTTTCAGTTTTCAATTGGTTCGTTTTCTTTTTCGGTTTTTCGAGTCCATCCCTACCTTAGTGTAAAGAATGAGTATAGAAAAAAATCATAATTTCAATTCCGTGTTTAAGAAAAAGCGGGTGCGTAACCGGTGATACTTTAATGAATATTTAAAAGCCCCAAATCACCCTTATTTGGTTTTGCAAGTTACGTACCCTTATCGTCGAACCCGCACCAGTGCATAAGCATATTTGTCTAATTGCTTTCTGTTACCGCAGTAAAGCCGCCATCTGCATCTTATTTTCTTCTCTAAATTACCCTTAACTGGGTCAGACCTCTGTTCACTTGGTCTTCTCTCAAGGTCTCATGGCACATGTAATATAATCTAGGGCTCCTGAATGGCAAATTGTAGCTTTGGTCTCTGAAAAGAAACCATGTATATGTCAGTAAATCAGAGTATCAGTTACTGAATGGCAAATTGTAGCTTTGGTCTTTAAATTAAAAGTTTATTAAAATTAGTACTATGAATTTTGTTCAAAAAAAAAAAGATTAGTTATGAATTTTGGCAAAATTGGAGCATTTGTCGTGACACCAACTTCGTGCTCGTGGGTCTCTCCGAATTATCTATTCTAAAGTTAAGGAGGGATTTTAGGGTTTATAAATTAGGGCTCTTGGGGATTTTAGGGTTTTCTCACTCCTTTGTTCAGAAATTGCACTGTATTTCTCAGATTTTGAAAAAATGGGCTTAATTTTGTTTTTTTGCTTTCGTATCTCTGGTAATTACTCTGAACCCTCAAAAGATTTGAAATTTTTGGTAATTTTTCTCATTGTTTTTTACAATTTGTTGTTAGAATTTGTACAAATTGCTGCCATTGTGTTGTGAATTAGTAGAAAATTGGGGTTTCAGGCAAATGACGAGATGGGTATGTGGATAAGACAATCAAAATCCATGCTTTCATCTGTTTGTTTGATTAAATATAGTTTTTGTCCTTTTCAACTCTCTTTGTCAATTGTGTAGGAATTGTTTGATTTTGCTTGGGGTTCTTGAGGGTTCAGCAACATCACGTACTTTTTGACCCAATCAACCACAAAAAACTGGTATGCTCTTTTCAAAATTTTCAATTTGATACACTCAGAATTGTTTTGATATAATTTAATTCTTAATTTTTCAAAATCTTAAATATTTCGTGTATGTTAGATTCTCCAATATTTCTTCTTATTAGAGTTTGATTTTTTCAGGTCTGTTTCCTGTTGGCATGTTTCCTTTGTTTCAGATGGGAGTCGACTTAATTGGTAAGCCATTTGTTTCGGTCTTTTGTCTCTATGATTTTTCCTCATAAAATTACATTATTCTCTCAATTGCTAAGACCAGAACTGGGACTCCTTGCAGGCCAATGTACCAACCTGGCATTTTAAAGTTTTCAGTATTATTTTCTTAGGGAGTATATTGTTTGTGTTTTTAGAGCGCATATGTGCGGGATGAAGGAAGAAATTAGGAACAGACAGACCAATTATGTAAGGATGTTTTTAAGGGCTTAAACTGAGATTTTCTAGATGAGACCACATGAATTCTGAATAAACTCAATCTCCATTTGGAGAGCATTCAACTTCAATTAAAAGATTTACTGATTCTGCTGTGAAATAAGGTGGGGTTTACTATGTGTTTGAGTGTTCTATTGTGATGATAAAATTTCCTTTATGAGGTTAATTGAGTTTTATTCCTCCTTTCTTTCCATTATTTTCAGTTGATCCTATTTCATGATTTTTTCTTCTCCTTACCGTTAAATGTTGCTTGACCTCTTTATTGGGACTAATTTTTCATGATTTTTTTTTTCATCTCAGTGAAACATAAATCAATCCAACAAGGTTGTGGTAGTGGAAATAATCTTTCTAAGGTTTTTGTCTGACAGTCTGAGTGTGATAGTATGCATTTCGTTTACTCTTTGTCACCAGTGCTTATTTGCTTTTTGCTAAATACTTAGTCAACAAACAAAGTACAACACGAGAAATTTTACTGAGCCAAAATCTCGCGAGATTCAAGCATATTCATATAGTTATCAAAAGCATAAGTTTAGTTATGCCTTTTCAGTAAAGATGATACCGAGCTTTCATGATCCTTGATTTTTTTTTTTTTATACATCCTTTCAGATTACATTGGTTCAGCCTTACAATGTAAAGAGGGCAATGTCATGCCCTAATTGTCGGAGACACGATGAGGATCTCTATGATTTAAGTTATCTGAAATGGTAAATAGTTTAGATCATTTTTTTTTATTTTAATTTCTAATGTTCTGTTACTTTTTGTGAATTTTCAATTTTTGCTGCATTTGACCAGATATCAATCAGCATTATCAATCAGCATTTAGATAGAGGGTCATATATAGTTTTTTACTTTCCATATGCTTTTGTGGAATACGCATATATGATAATGCCTCCTTTCACACAGTATGAACCGAAATAGATGAACAAGGATTTATTTATTTTTAAGTGTTAATGTATTCAAATGGCTACAGCTTATGTCGCGGTTTGCTTCACAAAACTCTAAGCTTTGCTTCCACACAGTATATTTGAGGACATCTCTACATCTTAACTTTTGCTTTTGTCTGATTTCTGCAAGTTTGAGGGTTAGGTATAAAAAAAAAATGCAAACCTTTGCATAAGTAAAATACATTTTGCTTCCGGCGTTTTGCTTTGATCGTCTAGGTGCTATTTTATGATAATCTATTTTCGGGTTTTGATATAACGGTGCAAGATTGTATGTTGTGTTTTTTGTCTATTTGAAGTGTTATCTGATGCTAAATTTGTTTTTTTTAGATGTTTGGTAATTTAGAATTTGGTTTATGGGTTGAATTCAGTTTTAGAACTATAACTAAGGTAGATTAATGTTTTGATCATGCTGGAGTAGATGGGTATTGAGTTTTTTTGAAATGTCAAGTTATAAATGGAGAGTTGAGGTCAAAAGCATATTGAGCTTGATGATGAGCTGCAGACAGATAGCAGCCCTGTAATTCATTGGAGTTCAGAGCGAGTTCATCAAACTCTTTAGCTCAAACCCATAGAAATTTGTGAACTCTGCGCCAGGATCCAATGGCTTTAGGATCAATGCTAATATTATATTATATATATACTAAAAGAGAAAATGGATTATTGGACACCCGAACTACGATGTGTTGGCCGACACCTGGAAGGTAACGAAGCCATAAAGTGTAGTGATGTGAAAAATGTGAATAAATTAAAAAGTAAAAGTGATTAATTTAGAGTGCACATGTGAGCGGGATTGAACCCATATTACATAAGTGATGTCAGAGCATAGATAAATTGCAGTAAAAGAAGAGTAAGGAAATCTATACCGAAAGGAGAAGTCTCCTACATGATAGCTTTTACCAACAATCTTCGTCATCACAAAACCTCTGCCACTAAAATCATAGAGGGGCAAAAAACAAAGGTGAGTGGGCCTAAAAATAAAGTTTTGTAAAACCTTTTCGAAAAGTGTAACCCCTCACCATAAAACAAGTATATGGTTTCACAAAAATATTATAATAATAGTATGTAATAGGTACCTTGCAGCAAAAGTGAGTCAAAGATGTAGGGTACAACAACAAGATATCTTAACATTAATCTCAATTCGTTATTCTAAGAAATCAATGCTCATTAATTTATGTAGGCACACAAGTCCACTGCAAAGATATTCAAACAATGAAATAGGCTGGGTGTAGATTTTACATTCTAGTACTACATCAAGTGAGATGCGCTAGTCGCATCACATACGAGTCCAAAACATTACACAAAAGGACAAGATGACACCTAACTTTGGATCCAAAGCGAATGTAAACGGTGCATGTGAAGTACACGTGAAGCTAGTCCTTGGCCCAAGACAATATAAATAACTAAGAAACACCGTGCAAACATGTAATAATGAGCAGATAAAATGTAAGGATGTCATGCCACAAGTTTATGCTCACAAATAATATTAACAACAAAAAGTGTACGAAAAGTCTATTTATAAAGCTAAACATGGCATATCACATCATAATATATAAAAGCACTTGTCGGAGAAAAATCACATATACATATATATACGTAAAAATGAAAAGACTCACTCACAAATACTTGCGATGTCACATCCATTCGAGCTAGGAAAGCTGGAGTCTCCAATATTAATTGCACCTAAGCATAATATTGGAACCTATTAGTAAAATTCAACTTAAACGACTAAATT